CAGGTACATTCTGGTTCAAGTTAACTATTTCCAACAAGTTTGAGACTACGTTACCGCACTGAAATCCCGCTCTATCATTGCACTCCTACAAACTTTACTGGCTTGTGGTGTTATCCCACACTGGATAAAAGCAGCTAAACGTATTTAAAGCCAAAGCCATAGATTACTTTTAGCCGATCTCAAAAATTGAATCTACATATTGCATTTACATGTTCTCAATCAGCATGTCATGTGTTGAGATTCCAAGCCCCCTCTTGTTCGTTTCTCCCTATGCTGAGTTCGCGCTTGCTCGCTCATGATTGAAGAGGATGATTCGCGAGCTATTGCTTTGACTTCAAATTGAATCAAGGCCAGCACAGAGACGCGATCGCGAACGAATGAGTAGAAACTGAAGTGATTATTTCACGACGGGCAAATCTTGTCAGACGCGTGATCTTGATGAACAAATTCTTGTTGAAGGGAAAGCTGCGGCGAGTTGTTTTTGTTCAACTTTACGTTGGGTCACAAATATAATTTCTAGCCATTTACCAGGGGAAATCCAACGTGGGCATAAAAGAACGAAGCTGCTGCCGAGCAAGCCCTGATGTCGAGCAGCCACATGATCATCGGAATCACGGATAAGTGTGTTAGCTGTAAGTTGCTTAGTTAGAAGTGTCGAAAGGCAAATGCTCATTCGAGTACTGTTGGTGCAGCCAACGATATTAGATAATTTTCTATGCCAAAAGGCATTGATATCGATGCTGAATTGTATATAGCCAAAAAATGAGATTATTATCGGAATTTTTATAGATTAACTTACCAGGTCCGTCATGGCCAGCAAAGTTAAATATGTATAAATGATCGTGCTTTTTCGGAGCAGCGGATGAGTTAGAGTGACAATGGTTAGCACATCCCCAAGAATACCGCATACGATAATAATTGGTGCGATGTATGCGTAAGTGATCTGAAATAGGCAACATCAAATAAATTACTTAAGAACGTACAACAACATGCATGGACAGTAACACGTTCGGATCAAATTCATTTCTCGAGTAAATTATGCTTCTGCATTGCAGCATCAAAATATCCTTGGAAAGTACAACCAGAAAGGACACCACCTATTCCTCATGTCGATGTAAACGTTTCTTTGCTAATCCTTGTTTTGATGCAGAACAATGTTTTGCTTTTCCTTTTCTAATCACTGCCACTTTTTGCCAATCTTACATGCAGTGTATTCGGACGTAACAGCCACCAATTAATCTTAACCTTATCAACTTTTCACAGTAATCTACTCATAGATTTCTATGCGTTGGCGAACACGCTCAAAGTTCTGGTGCTTCTAAATATATGTAAGTGTTCAAGCATAACTAGCAAAAATTGTAATACCGTGCTAATCCCAAAAATCATGCAGTTCAGATTCTCGGCAATTTCCTTACTTGTTAGATGTTTGAGACTGCATACAGTACTAACATAAATAGGTTCCAATTCCGAGAATGGTGAACGGTTTCTAATGTTCAATCGGAGCAGAAAGATTTGATTGACTTTTTGCATGTTTACTTAAAATTTTTATGGAAAAACATGAGTGTTCCATTAAGAAACTAATTTCTTCAAATTGTTTGTTCGTCACTTTGAATAACAGAAGGAACGGTGTTGCAAAGATTAGTTTTTTTATAATAGATGTAGGAGCAGAACTCACCCTCATTGAAGCAAGCTGCTTGAAAACTATCTAGATCGCACATTTTCATAACCCTTAAAATGTATCAGTATAGCTTGCTGATTTTTTTTATATTATATATCATCTTTCAAGACTGAAG